AAACATGCTTTTATTTTAGTTCAGGAATTCACAGCCCCATCTAGGCAGTCCACTGATCCTATATAATACTTGAACATACAACAATGGCTTCTTCATTTTTTCACAACACATCCTTAAATCCAATGGAAATTAGAGAATGAAAGGTGAGAATTTATTGTGCTAAATTTCACAGTTAAGCCATCAATCAGTAAAGTGACATCGTAAGAGTGAAAGACTGAGAGATAGAGAAAGACAGAAAAGCACCCTCGAAAGGGTCTCACGCTGTGATCCCCACTAGCTTTCTCAGCCAGCTAGGATAATGAGCATACCTAGTGTGTTCAGGTTGACTGGAGGAACCAGTCACAGTCTTCTGTATGGACCTATTATCACCAAGCAGCGCAATGCTGCTGTACCACCAGGCTGGCCCCATTCAGACTTCTGTAACAAAATTCCATGGACCGCAGGAGCTAAAACAATGGAAGTTTATTTCTCAGTTTTAGAGGCCGGGAAGTCCAAGATCAAAGTACCAGCAGATTTGGTGTCTTGTGAGGGCTGACTTCCTCCCAGACAACCTTTTCACTTTAATCTTTCGTGGCAACACCGGGCAAGAGTTATCTCTTGGGCCTCTTCTATAAAGGCATTAATTCCATTCGTTAGGGTTCCACTCCCATGACCTAATCACTTCTTAAAGCTTTCCCTCCTAATTCTATCATCTTATGGGAAGGATTTCAGTCTAAGGATTTGGGATATGGGGAAACAGAAACATTCAGCCCATAGCATCCCCACATCAACTCTATAAACAAATATTACTTATTGATGATTTTTTAGTTGCTGGCTATGTCCTGGTAAATAATTTACTTATGAAACCTCACAGTAACTCTTTGCTTTACAAAGAAAGCAGCTGAGGCAGGAAGTCAAGTAACTTGATTATACAGCTTGGGATTGGTAGAGGCAGGACTAGAACTCTGACCTCCCTTACTCCAAAGCCTGGGAGCAACTGCTGTCCACACTGCCTGTGAGGCAGCTAGCAAGTCTATCCAACCTGGCACTCTTCATTTCTGAAGTCTCTTTAAATGCCCCAAAGACCGATATGTTTAGTCAGGAATAATATAGCTGCATGGTACAATAGACCACGCCAGCCGGACGGTTAAGGATCATTTTAATAAGAACTGGGGATTCCAGAAGAAAATGGAGTTCTTTAGAAGTATTTACAGTCTAGAAGAAAGAAGCCATCTTATCTCTTTAATTTGGATGAGACTCAGGATTTTAGCCATCTCCTGCTGACTTTAGTATGAGGTACAACAGTTTGAATACTGGCTTCTCCTCTTATCATCTGTTCGAATGTCATACTACGTCATTTAATCTCTCTGAGCCTCAGTTTCCCCATTAGAAAAATAGGGACAATACATCTACCTTGCAGGGCTGTTGACGGGATTACAAGTAGTATATACAGGGGCCAGCAGATAGTGTAGTGGTTATGTCACTGGAATCCCACATGACTGACTGCAGTTCAAGTCCCAAACCGAGTGGCTTGAAATTCACGCCGGTCACATGTGCGTGTGTGCCCAAGATTCTGGGAGAACAGGAGGAGAAGGGATTGTGGCATGGCCATCCCTGCTGGGGATTGGTTGCTCACTTTCCTTTCACTGTCTCTGTCTCTCTTTCTCTGGCAAGTGCATGGATCTTAAGCAAAAACCGGTAAAAAAAAAAAAAAAAGTTAAAAAAGTAGTATATACAAAGTACCTACCATGAGTTTAAGATAGATGTACAAAAACGGCAGTTATTTTTTTTTAAAGCCCTTGATGAGAGCAGCTGGTGGCATGATGGTTAAGGGACTGGACACTCCCACATGGCCAACCATGGTTTGAGTCCTGGACCTGGTGACTTTCTTTCTTTCTTTCTTTCTCTCTTTCTCTCTCTCTCTATGGTCAAATTAAAATAAATAAATGAATAAATGCAATTAAATAAAATTCTAAAAAAAAAGCCATTGATTCTGCACTGAAACCTCTATTTCTCTCTCTCTCTCTGTCTCTCTGCTAGAGGGCACATGCGTTGGCTAAAGAGATAGAGACAGAGGAGAAAGCAAACCCCAATGGGGAATGGCCATGCCACAATTCCTTCTCTTTCATCTCAGAATTTTGGGCATGCATGCACTCACATCTGGCATGTTTCTAAAGCCACTGGACTGGAAGATTGAGCCATCTGGGATCTTGCTATCTTAACCATCAGACCGTGGAGCCAGCCTGGGACCACTTCTCTCTCAAGAGTCAATTCTATGAACCAGCAGTTAGCATAATGGCTCTGTCGCTGGACTCCCATGTAGTCGACCGTAGTTTGAGTCTCGGACCCAGTGGCTTAAACTCACGCCGGGCGCATGTGCGTGCGTGCCCAAGATACGGAGAGGAGAATGGAGGAGAAGGGATTGCGGCGTGGCCATCCCCCCGGGGGGTGATTTCTCACTTTCTGTCTCTCTGTCTCTCTCTGTCTTTCTGGTGAGCGCACGCGCCCTATAACGAAAACCTCTCCAAAAAAAGAAAAACAAAAGACACTAAAAAGTGTCTTCATAGTAGGACTTAAGCTCTGATGATATTAAATAGTCTTACACTAACATTGTCTCTTCATCTCGCTTTTATATACTAATTTTGGGAATTTATAATTCGACTGTTCCAATTGGGCAAGTATATTATTTGTTATTCTGTTCTTTTTAAAATTTTTTAAAAAATTATTTATTTAATTTTATTTATTATATTTTAATTTGATCAGAGAGACAGAAAGAGAGAGAGACAGAGAGAGAAAGTGAGAAAGCAAGCCACCAGGTCCAGGACTCAAACCGTGATTAGGCATATGGGAGTCTAGCACTTTAACTATCATGCTACCTGCTGGCCCCACTATTCTGTTCTTTACATGTATGAGGAAACCTCAAAAAGTCTGGGGAAAATGGAAATAAAGTTTAAGTTTATTTTGGTGCAAAAAAAGATTTTGAAACCTAAGCATAATTTTTTTTCATAATACACATTTCCATGAACTTTTTGAAGATTCCCTCATGCATTATCAGTATACTAAGCATTAACAATCTCTGACTGCAGGAAAGTTCATTTGGTCTCTGACAAGATGCACTGAGTCTCTTTAATTCTGTTTTCCCATTGATTTAATAAAATAGTCTAGAATAGCTGTGTAGACACACTGGCATTTATTTGCAGTATGTTTTATACAACTATTAAGTGCATGCTGCCTGAATTCCAGATACATTTATATGAATAGCTACAGAAATAATGAAATAAATATATAGCATTATCATATACATGTGATAAATACCTGTATGCTTAATTTATTTAAAAATAAGATAATATAAGATATAAATATTATAAAATACACTTAGATCTTAAATAATGATAAAACCCATCAACTAATAAAACTTTCAGTACATCTATAAGGAGTTTCTTCAAATTGACCGTTTTTATTTTTTATATATACCAGTGACATTCTACTTTCTATAAGGTATCCATTTGCATTTTATTTTTCAGCAGTGGGAATTAGTTTGTAATGAGCCATCCATAGCAGCATTCTTTTCAGAATAATTGGACAGGACTTGGGGGTGCATGCTGATGTTGTAATGGGATCTAACTTGCCATTGGTAGTCAGACTATAGTTTGTTAAAATTTCACATCTTTACTAAAATTCTGAGCCTTTTCTTATCTGATTAATGATGAAATCTCTGTGTTTGGCACTTATTAAAATTTTTGTGTGGATCAGTTATTGCATTATTATTATTTTTGTTTTTCTTTTATTTGCTATAGGGCTCTTGTGTTCAGAGAGAGACAGAGAAAGCGAGTGAGAGAAAGTGAGAAAGCACACCCCAGGAAGGATGGCCATGGCACAATCCCCTCTCCTCCATTCTGTTGGAAATCTGGGCACCAATGCACACATGCTGGAGTGTTTTTCAAAACACAAGGTCTGGGACTCCAACTATACAGTCGCCCATGTGGGATCCAGCTGCCTTAACTGCCAGCCACTAACTGGCCCTGGATCCAATTATTTGGATCATGTAGTTTAAAGAATGGGGCTTTGCCATCTTGGGTTTAAGACTAGGTTCTGTCACTTACTAGCATTGGAACCTTGTGCAAGTTACACTGTTTGCCTCAATGGCATCTGTAAACTATGGCTCTTTATTTTAAGTACCTCTTAGCGTTTTTTGATATTAACAAGAAGTAATACATGGAAAGTATTTAATGCAGTATCTGGTATACATGGTCATGATAGAGTGAAAATTTTTTCTTATTATTATATTGAATCCCAAGTCTAAACTTATCTTTTTTTAATTAAAGAAATATAAGAAATATTGAGAATTGCTCTGGGTATCAGGGTGTGCTAATTTCAGAAAAATACTTTTTGAGATTAAAGGAGAGATGCTTAAAAGCTGAGAAGCTTGCCTTCTCCATTACCTTTCTTAATGTAGCAGTTTATAACACCCATCAACCTGCAACTGATTCTTTAGTATAATTAGGGAAGTATTCTTGTAATTAATATATAATTTAATAACACAGATCTAGAGCCTAGTGGTGACTTATGACTGTTGTTACTGCATAGCTGGGAAATAGCTCATTCCACAGCAACTCTGTGATTGGTTTATGTACGAAAGAGGTAGATTTTGATTGGCTCACCCAATGGAAACGGTCTCTGCCTGAGCCCGTAGTGGCCAAAATGGCTCCATAATTGGCTCTCCTGGAAGCCGGCAGACACGTGGCTGTCGCAGACTCAGCTATTAGGAGGACCTAGTTTTGTTTACCGCCAGAGGGCGCCGGAGGCTCCACGTTTCCAAAGTCTCATTTCCCATAAAGCCTTCGAGCGACCAATCAAATGGCTGTCTCCATACCGCTTTCAAAGTCGGCGGGCCCCTTGCCCAATAGTAAGGCAGATGCCTCCTCGAAGTGGCTGATTGATGGAAAGCTTGACCAATCACTCTACAGCTCTGTGCTTTGTCCACCTCTCTCGCACGGGATTGATGATCTTTCCTGCCAATAGGGGACGCCGGGTTGGCGGGTGGATGAACGCGGCCCTCTGTAATGGCGGAGCGTGGCGGGGACGGGGGAGACGGTGAGCGATTCAACCCGGGGGAGCTCAGGTAAGGGGCGCTGTTTTCCCTCACTTTTCGGCGCGCTGGGGTCCCAGAGTCTACGTCTGCTGCGCGGAGACTTAGGGCGAACGGCGGGGCGCGGAGCCGCGGCGACTCCGCGCCACGGCCGCC